AATTCGAAATGTTAAAATCGATTTTGGCGCTACTCCGCTCGTCGGGGTGGAGTACAGAAATCGATTTAAAGGGCCCTTTATTTCAAAATAAATGGCGTCGTTGTGTGGACGGTTGCAGGGTAAATTCGAATTAACGCTGATAAAACCGAATTAAAGTCGTAGTGTAGACCAGGCCAAAGTTAACACAGTAGCTTTCACATTAGGTTCTTTGGGACCTGTATTAATCTGTAATAATACCAGAAAAAGTTTGCTGCACTTCTTGTTTCACCGGCAATTTGTGCCCTTTTGCCCATCTCCTAGTGGGCCAAATCTTGAAATCTTTACTCATTTTTTTCTTGAACCTCATCCAGGCAAAATTACCACTGTGTAAGGACTTCAGGGTTTGACCCATTGTATTTTCCATGAAATAGAAATAGACATTTTGCTTTTTTATTGAAGAAGAAATGAAGGCCCTCCTCCTGAAACTCTTATGTGAAGAACTATGCGTGTGCGTAGTCCCATGGGACTACTCACATGTGTAAACATACCCGTGTGTAAGAGTTTGCCAGACTGGAGCCTAAATTTGGACTCCATTCCCATAACTTTTTTATTTTGGATGTGTTGGTACTGTAAATGATATAATCCATTTTCAACTACTACAACTTTCATTGCCAAATCTCACAAACAAAGTTCTAGTGTATCATGAAATCTTACAGTTGGTAGTTATTAGACCTGTCAAATGAATTATGTTTCTTAGGAATTAGACATTATTGGGATTAGAGGCAACAGCCTACGAATGCAGGGAAAAATTACTCTAGTGTACAGATTCACAATATAATAAACATCTTTCCTGTTTGGGACTGTGATGGTCTTTGCTCATGGGGAGTACTGCCTAGTGGTCAGGGCTTAGGACCTTTAACATGGAGAGCGGGTTTTTGGTAGGGGAGCCCAGGCCCTCCCACTTCATCAGACTCCCCCACAGGGCCCCATGAGGGCAACACCCAGGGTCTGACACCAAGGAGAACCTTAAGGCTGTTCTTCCTGGGCCACTTTCTACCACCCCACTATTGTCCAGAGTTCTCAGTCTATCAGAGGAGGCTGTGAAAGGGGTCAGTCACTACTGGGTGCCTCTTCACAGCCGGGCATAGGGTAGTGGCTCTTGGGGCAGCAGGTGCCTCGTCTGGTGCCTTGGCCCTTCAGCCAAGTCAGTTCCAAGTCTCTACCCTTCAGGGATTGTCCATAAACACCACACAGGGAATTAACACAAATAAACTGCACTAGTAGGTGAGAGGGGAAACATCTCCCTCTCCAGGTATAATAGAAGCAGGTCCTCCCTTCCTGCAGGGAGGGACTTTCAGGTGATTGTTGAGGGAGAGATCCCGCCTTCCCTCAACCCTTTTCTCAGGAGCTAAACAATAGAGTCCTTTCTCTTCCCTGGTCTGCCCACAAGTAAGATGTTCTGCTCCCTTTTAACTCCTCCTACACTCTGTGCATCTCTTGCAGGTAGGATGACCAGACAGCAACTGTGAAAAATTGGGACTGGGGTAGGGGGTAATAGGTGCCTTTATAAGAAAAAGACCCAAAAATTGGGACTGTCCCTATAAAATCAGGACATCTGGTCACCCTACTTGCAGGCATGGTGAGATGGGGCTGGCTTAGCCCAGAGCAGCTTTTTAACCCCTGGTGGGACAGTGTGGGGTTTATATACCCTATCACAAGGGCACATGACTCTCCCCTCCCCACCTCCACCAATATCCTCTACAGAGGATATGGGAATTGCTAAAGTATAACTTGACAAAGATAGTAACTATCATAGCCCACGCAAAGTCATTATATGGCAATAGTAATTTATAATTAATGCTGACCTGGATCTTGCAGTAAGAGGTCTTTTTTCTGGAAGATTTCGAAGTCTTTCTTTGCATTCCCCAGACACCAGATTGCTGCAGAGTGTCACAAAGATTTCTTGTTACACAAGCAGGAAGGGTAAAACACTGTAAAAAGATTTAGCAGTTTTGATATGCTGATGCTCAGGACAGATTTCTTTTGTTAAATGAACAAAGGAGAAAAAAGCATGTATTGGAATATTTTTCCTTGATTTTTTTGATTGTTGAATTTATTCATTCTCTCCTCTTGTCTGCTCTGATTATTACAATACAAAGGTGTTACTGGTTGAATGTTAATGGTATTACAAGAACCAAAACTCTGTCAATACTTACTGTTGGATGGCCTCAATTTACAAGATTAATAGCAGCTCTCAAGAAGAGCAGAAATTCACAATCACATTTTATGTAGGTGTTCCCCTAAGATCTAGCTCATCCCCACAAACCCTCTGCACATGCAGAGCTTTCATTGACTTGACTGGGAGTTAAACACAGATGGTTTATCGAATTAGGCCCATAGTAGTGGCCTGATCCTGCAAGTTGCTGAGTAATGGTTGGAGGTGTTGAGGATCCTATTGAAGGGTCTAATTCAGCAAGGTACTTAAGCACGTGTATAACTTTAAGATAGGGTGACCAGATGTCCTGTTTTTATAGGGACAGTCTCGTTTTTCGGGACTTTTTCTTATATAGGCGCCTATTACCCCCCACTCCCTGTCCTGTTTTTTCACAGTCCTTTAAGAACACGAGGAGTCCCATTTACTTCAATCAGTGCAGAATAAATTGGGCCATATAAACATGCCTTGCATTTTTTTGCAATACAGCTCAGGGCCAGATTCTGATACCTTTACTCAGTCTGAGTTGCACTTCACTCCATGAATAGTCCCATTGAAACTCAATGTGTGCAAGAGTGTAAGAATTTGTCCCTAAAATTAAAAAAACCCTTAATCCTCTAAACTTGAAATGGAGAAACATTGAAGAAGGGCATTTCTTAATTGTGTTTGGGTTTATATAATTGAATGGGATTTGTCTTTATGGATTTTCTATATAGTACTTAGTCTGTGCAATAAACTTCTTTCTGGTACAAAATGTTCTCTCATGCTAGCTATTGTACTATTTATCCTTTCATTGTCTACTTTGCAGAGGGTTATATTTTAAAATCCATTAGCAAGAATAGCCCTCATTTTAACTATAAATCTAAGTTCACTGCTAAATTTATTAGACTCCAGAGATTTCCAACATTTTCAGTAAAAGGAATATTCTGTTTTAAGAACTCTACAATTCTGAAGTTTTATCCTGTGTTGTGTTTATCTTCCATCCAACATGATTCTGGTTTCTTCCTGTTGGAAAAATAATTTATTAACATCAGGAGAGCTGAATAATGTAACTTTAACTTGATTTTTGCCAAATAAATAATTTCCACATCTTCTCAGCCACTTTTTCTATTCATCTCTGCTAAATTCCTCCTTTGGGTCCTTTGTTCTACATTCCAGTGGTTTGTGTTACTCATTGAGCTGTTGGCAGGCGGAGAGATATGGTGTGCTGAGCAGTGTTCAGTCCACATAGGCAGTGAATGTGCAAGACACATACAGGGTTAGGCATTTTGATAGGGTTTTCTACTTGTAGAAACATTTTTAAAAAAAATAAAGTCACAGAGGCTGTTTTCCCTTCAAAAGTAGTAAGAAACTTAGTTTACCAGAATAATTTGACCAGCTGCCTTCCAAAACCTGTTTCTTAAGGGTAGCAAAATGCTACTGACTAGAACAAGGATGAACTGGCCCAATTGTGTGGAATGGGGAAGGCCGCAGCAGCATCCATTTAGAGCCGGAAGTTACCCTGTTATTTTATATTCATTATGCAACTAACAGCTACTGCTTTCCTTTAGCTATTGTCCAGTCTCATATACCTTAAGTTTAAATAACACAAAAAAGCTTTAACGATAACCAGATCGGTCCAGTTCCCACTGAAGTCAGCGGGAGCTGCATTAGACCCTATCTATCTCCTTGAAGTACAGATCTATATATTTACTAAAAGGTGACCTTGTGAAAATGACATTATGGGGTTATATTTTAATTGCATGCCAATTATTGTTAGATGATATACACTTCTACCCCGATATAACGCAACCTGATATAATACAAATTCGGCTATAACGCGGTAAAGCAGCGCTCCGGGGGCGGGGGCTGCGTGCTCCAGCGGATCAAAGCAATTTTGATATAACACAGTTTCACCTATAACATGGTAAGATATTTTGGCTCCCGAGGACAGTGTTATATCGGGGTAGAAGTGTATGCTGAGTTTACAAGTAAGAAGAAAAGTTCCTTTCCGTCCCCAATTTATAGTCCAGACTCAACTTGAGATCTGAAAGTCAGTTTGGATTCTGTCTGTCTTTCTCATGCATTATCACCAGCAGGTCAAATTATGCCCTCAGTTACATCTGTGCAGTCCTATTGTCTGTAGTGGTTTTGCACAGATATAATGGATTGAAACTCAGTAAACAATTTTGATGATGTACAAGAAAAAAAAATAGAATCCAGCTTGCTTCCTCTTGGCTGTGTTAGTTATGCAAGACTACTGGGAGTAAAAAGCAGTAAAAACTTACCTTTTTTTAAAACTATTTTTTTACTAATGTTTACAGTATGATGGGGTCTAAATTAGCTGTTACTACTCTAGAAAGAGATCTTGGAGTCATTATGGATACTTCTCTGAAAACATCCACTCAATGTGCAGTAGCAGTCAGAAAAGCTAACAGAATATTGGGAATAATTAGGAAGGGGATAGATAATAAGACAGAAAACATCATATTGCCTCTCTATATATTCATGGTACGCCCACATCTTGAATACTGCATGTAGATCTGGATGCCCCCATCTACAAAAAAAAAAAAAAGAATATATTGGAATTGGAAAAGGTACAGAGAAGGGCAACTAAAATAATTAGGGGTATGGAACAACTTCCATATAAAGAGAGATTAAAAAGACTGGGACTTTTCAACTTGGAAAAGAGACGACTAAGGGGGATATACTAGAGGTCTATAAAATCATGGCTGGTGTGGAAAAAGTGAATAAGGAAGTGTTATGTACTCCTTCACATACCACAAGAACTAGGGATCACCCAATGAAATTAATAGGCAACAGGTTTAAAACAAACAAAAGGAAGTATTTCTTCACACAATGCATAGTCCACCTGTGGAACTCTGTGCCAAAGGATGTTGTGAAGGCCAAGACTATAACAGGGTTCCAAAAAGAACTAGATAAATTCATGGAGGATAGGTCCATCAATGGCTATTAGCCAGAATCGGCAGGGATGCAAAACCATGTTCTGAGTGGCCTTAGCCTCTGTTTGCCAGAAGCGGGGCGTGGATGACAGGGGATGGATCACTTGATGATTGCCTGTTTCTGTTCATTCCCTCTGAAGTACCTGGCATTGTCTACCGTCGGAAGACAGGATACTGGGCTAGATGGACCAGTAATCTGACCCAGTATGGCCGTTCTTATGTTCTTACATACTAAAGTAAGCAGATATGATTCTGAATACATGCAGGGCTAGGCTCTGGCAGTGCTGTTACAGACCTATGCAGGGTAATGGGGAGCTGCTCTCACTCAAAAAGCACTAGAGAGATTGTGCCTAAGGCAGATGCAATCACATGCTGCTCCTTGCACATAGGCAGTGCAATCTTCTCCATTGAGTAGGACAGATATGATTTCTATCCTTGGAGCACAGGCCCTACACCATGTGGCCACCTTCATACCCTTTCAGTCTTTAGTCTTTCTTCTGAGATTGCCAATTAATAGCAAATGTAATCATGAAGTTTAGCCTGGAGAATTTTCCACTAAGAACTGGATTGAGGTCACTAACCTTGTGATAAATAAAGGGAGGGGGGTAGGTCCCTTTTAGGGACACCCAGCCAGCCAGTAGCTATAAAATCCCTCTTAGTAGCTGTTCTCTAATTGCTTTCCCCGTAAAGAGTTAAAATGTCTCACTGCTATGCATCAGTAAAAGGAAGTGAGTGGGCACCTGGCCAAAAGAGCCACTGGGAAGGCTAGAACTTTTTAAAATTGAAACAAAGACTCCCCTTTTGTCTGTCTGTTGTTCTCCTGGGGAGAGGTGGACCGGGCAACTATCAGTCTTATGCTGTAAGAAGGTTGAGCCAGGTATGAAAAATCATCAGCATCATATCTAGAAACTACTCATTAAAACCCCAGATATGTAAGTATATCAGGAAATCTCTAGGAAGACGCGATTAGATTTATCTCTTTATTCCTCTGTGCTAACCCCAGGTGCTTTTGTTTTGCTTGTAACCTTTAAGGTGGACCTCAAGAAAGCTATTCTTGGTGCTTAATCCTTGTAGTTGCTCTTTTAAAACCGAGCAATAGCCTGAGTTCCCAGATGTATTTTCTTTTTTTATTAATAACATTTACCTTTTTTAAGAATAGGATTGGATTTTTGTGTCCCTAAGAGGTTTGTGTACATGTTGATTAATTAGCTGATGGCAACAGCTGATTTCCTTTTTTCTTCTTCTTTCTCGGCTCTTCCCTGGAGGGGGTGAAAGGGCTTGAGGGTACCCCACAGGAAGGAATTCCCAAGTGCATCTTCCTGGGCTCTCAAAAGGGTTTTTGCACTTGGGTGCTGGCAGCATCTACCAATCCAAGGTCAGAGAAAAGCTGTAACCCTGGGAGTTTAATACAAGCCTGGAGCGGCCAGTATTAATTTTTAGAATCCTTGCAGGCCTCCACCTTCTGCACTCGAAGTGCTAGAGTGGGGAATTAGCCTTGACAAACCTTAACTCACTTAGCCTGTCAGGTAGTAACAACTATCAGTCATACATTAATAGACTGGATCCACTCCTGGAATGGATTTTGGATTTTCAGTCTTGTAAATCATCAACTCACCCAACATATTTAATTTATGCTTTTCCTTTCAATGGCTCTGGGGAGAATTTTCATGAAAAAATGTCTTGTCTTTTCCCTGTGCTCCCTTCCAACTTTCTTATTCTTCTAGAATAATAATGCAGTAAACAATGAAGAACAAATTATTCGAAGGACTGCATTTCAGACATCTGT